GTTGATGACGACGAACTCCACTTCGAGCTGGGCTCTATGGAGCCCGTCGCCGAAGATCACCGGGAGGGTTATTACCCCCTCGGAATCAATAGTATCGCCGGTGAAACCGGCAAGAGGGGTCTTAATGGGCCGAAGGGACCCCCTCTCCAGATGCAGCTCTCTGAAGGTGCTGAGGTACATCACATTGACGGAGCTGCCTGTGTCAATGTAAGTTCGGTGGATGATGGTGTCGTTTATCTCCGTCCGAATCACCAAGGCATCCCTGTGAGGAGAAGAAGTAGGAGGGAGATCTGCGTTGGTGAAGGTGATGGGTTCCTCCCTCAGTCGCTTTACCGGGGGCATATGAGTGACTTCCCCTACGTAAAGCGATTGAGCCCACTTCTTTCGCTGGCTGGTGGAATCGCCCCCTGTATTGCCATCGGTGATCATGAGGATGTGGCATTTTTTCTCCTGGTAGTGGGGGTATTCCTCCTCCTCTTCTTCCAAGTTCCCAATCTCCCTCTTCTTGCCGAGGGGGATGGTATTCGGGTTTACCCAAGCGTTCACCTTCGTGTGGTGCCCTCGGGGAGGCCCCTGATGAGAAGGTCCCTCCTGCCGAGGGCTCTGAACAAATTGGGACAGGTGCCCCGCTTGTATTAACCTCTCGATGGCCGTCTTTAGCTGATGGCAGTCATCGGTCCTGTGCCCCTGGTGCCGATGGAAGCGACAGTATGGGAACTGAGGGTTGATAGCATGTACCTCCGGGGGTGCGCGAGAGTCGCGCTCAACAAGGCCCCTCTCCTCGGCAAAATCGAGGATGATGCTGACGGGGTGCGTCAATGGTGTCCGAGGTCGGTCCAGGAGAATGGGCTGGGCCCAAGTCTTAGGGTTGCTCTTATAACCTCCCCCGGGCTTGGCTTGGCCTTGCCGAGGGCGGTCATCAGAGGGTCCCGAAGCCTTGGGGTGATTTGGAGGAGCCCCCGGCCCTCGGTTATGCTTGTTGTCAGCCCTCGAGGGATGCTGGTCCGGATGCTGGTGATACTTCTCCACCTCCTCGGCCTCAGCATATCGGTCCCCCCGCAACAAAGCCCTTATGTAGTCGCGGGGAGGTTCAATGATGAGGCTCCTTGAAAAGTTGTCAGTGCGGAGGACGGTTTGTAGGAGGGCCAGGAGGGTCCCGTCATCAGCACCGTCGACCTTGTCGGCCTCCGTCCTCCAGCGCTCCAGGAAGTCCCGAAGGGTCTCATCCCTCTTTTGGCGTATAGTTAGGAGGTGGGAGAAGTGCTTCCTCGTGCGACGCCTCCCGGCAAATTGTGTCAAGAATCGCTGGGCGAGTTCTTGCCACGAATCAATGCAGCCCTCGGGCAGCCTGTTGAACCATTCGTATGCCGGCCCCTCTAAGGTGGAGAGGAACCAACGACACAAATATTCGTCCGACGCCCCTACCATCATCATGCTATTCTGGTATTTGCTGTAGTGTTCCTGGGGGTTCGTTTTTCCGTTGTAGGGCTGTATGTGTTGCCCTCGGTATTTTTCCGGGATCCGGGCCGCCAATACCCTTGGGGTAAATGGCGTCCGAGTCCGGAGCTGGATGACGGGTTCCCCGGAGCCCTCGGCCACCTTCTTTTGTAACTCCTCCATTTTGCCCATCATGGCCTCGTATTTGAGATCTGAATGATGGGTGGAGGTGGTGGCGTGAGCTTTGTTGGACTCCATTTCGTCAAGCCGGCGTTGGAGGGCCGCAATAATCTCGTCCCGGGGATCCTTCGGGAGGGTCTCCGCCCCCTGCGAACGAACCCGGGCCGAGTGGGCCTGATTGATTTGGTGCCGAGCATCATCGGCATGAAGGGGTGCCTTGCCTTTGTCCCGAGGGGGACGCTCCTCGTCTGCCCTCGAAACAGATCCCCCGCTTTCCTGGGGCCTTTGGAGTGCTTTCCCCCCGAGGCGGTCTTGGACCCCTCGGCGGTCTGGCCCTCCCCCGAGCCGGTTGAGGGCGGAAGTACGGGGCCTTTCCCTGTTGTCATTATGGCGGTCCCGGGACTGAACTTCCTGGGAGGACGTATCTTGGGCCACCACCCCTTCGTCGTTTCTCACCCGAGGGGTGGGATTTTCGAAGGGGTGTGGCAGAGGGGGAAGTATGATGTTTTCCCCAACCTGAGGGTGAGCTGGAGCCAGGGTGCCGAAGGCACCCGGGTTCTGAGTGAGTGTTTGGATGAAGGCGGAGAGCGCCGATTGTACGTCGATGGTGAGAACCGGAGGGCTGACTTGGTCATCGCTCCGGTTTTTCTTTTTGGCCTCGATGCCGAGGCGGGCATCGGGGGCATTCTGTTGGATCTGAAGGCGTAGGTCGACAGCCGCCTGTTCCAACCCAGCGATGACACCGCCCTCGGGAGCCCTGTGAGAGGCTTCGGGGGCGTTGACGTCGCCGAGGGCCAGGTTCTTGTCCTCTACGTTTTTTGAGTTGGCACGTGTTGTCCTCACCATTTTGATAGAGGGCTAGTGTTTTGTGTTTGGCCGAGGGGTAGGGTTTCTTACTTGATTGTTCGACCTCTCAACGAGAGCACCAAATGATGGATAGTCTACCCGGGGGTATATATCCGAAGGGTTATCGCGGGGAATAACTTAGAGAGAAGTCAGAGCAAGTAAGTAAATGTAGAGAAAGAGTGTATTCAGTATGAATGCCGTTTTCAGCGTGGTTACAAATGGGGAAATGGGGTGCTATTTATAGTAGCAATAAATGCCGGACAGGGACACGTGTCAAGCGCTCATTGGCCGAGGGGTCACCTCAACTGGTTGGCGCTGGCAGCCGCATGTGGCCGCATTTAATGCGGCTGTTGGATGGGACGTCTGTACAGGGTACGGTGATCTGTACGCATGTGAGGCGGATATCTTGTCGAGTGAGATGCCTTCGGCTATAGAGCAGTAGCTGAGGGCTCCTCCAACCGATGGCGCATGGTGCCGAGGGCTCACAGTGTCGAGGGCTACTGTTTTCGCCGTTTTCTCCTAGTTTCTTAGTTTGCTTGAGAAACCCGTTCTGTGAGAGTTTAGAGCCTTCGGCCAGGGGGCCGAAGGCACCCCTGGCGCGTAGTGCGGGCTGCTTGGTACTCTGGGCGCTGTGATTTGGGCATGTTGGGCCTTCTGGACCTGTCGGGCCTTCGCTAGAGTAGTAGGAGTCTGTGGGCCGGGGGTTCCCGGGCCATATACTCCATCACCCTTAAAACTTGGGCTTTCTTCACAAATAAATCAAAAGCAAAAGTAATATCACTTTTGTCATTTTTTAATTTTCTTTTCAAAAATAGACTTGCTAAACTTTTTCTCTCACTAAGGATGTTTTTACTTGGACTTTAATTTGCTGATCTGGTGTAGTCTGGTCTGAACTGGTCTGAACTGGTCTGGTCTGATTTCTTTGTATTTTTATAACTATCCAAATCTGATGTGAATTGATCTGGAAGGAATTATGGTCCAAGTAAAAACATCCTAATAATCTTTTTATATACAACTTCACTTACTGGATCGCTACTCCTTAGAAACGCAGACTACCTTGATAGAATGGAAGAACAATAAGGCAATCAGCTGTGCTACGTTAATAAATGAAAGCATTATATCCAAACTTGTTCAAATTTGAAAACATGAAACTAGAAAGTATGTTTTAAAAAAAAAGTACAAATATAAAAAATTATGAAACAAGTCTAAAACTAAAAAACTTGTAAATAATTAGAACTTTTTAAAAATAAAAAATTTCAAATATTCTAGAAAATGAAAATAAATATATAAGGAAAACGAAAAAAGTCGACAATGAAACCAATTATAAAATAAATCAAAACACAAAAAAAAAACTATAAATTTTCAGGAAAAAAATTAAAAATGTTAAGGAAATGACGAAAGATAATAAATGTACATTTTCCATATTAAAAATTTAAAAGTGTGATAATGTATATAAAAGTTGAATTCTATGATTTGAAAATGTTCTAAAAGGCTCTCCAGTAAATATATACGATTTTTTAAAAAAATTAAAAAATCAAATTAAAGTTTAAATAAGATTCTTAAAATATTTAAAAAAAGTAAATTAAAGAAAATAAAAAAGTATGTAACTATTAAAAATCGTAAATAAAAAAGTGAAAATAAATAAATAAAATGAAATATTATAAATTAAAAACTTATAATTATGATATGTTTATATATTTTAGTTATTATTATTATCATTTAATTGTTTCTTTGTGTTTCTTTTTGTTGATAACTTTATTTTTTTGTTTTTTATTGTTTCTTCATGTTCCTTTTTGTTTGTTCATAAATTTTTATTTTTTCAGGTGTGTGTGTGTGATTTTGTATTCCAAATAAGTAAGAATTATATATTTAAATCTAAATAAAAAATCAAAATCAATAACAAAAACAATAAGCAACACGATGCGGCATGATACAACACGTGCAATGTAACAAAAAGTAACAAAAACAACATATAAAACTATAACAACATATATATAATTCAATCTCTTATTACAATATAATTTATTATATTTATCTATTATCTATTACATTTATTGTCTTGGTTCTCAACGTACAATTCAAAAGATTTTTCTCTTTTGTCTTCACTTTCTTTGTCAATCTTCTCAACCTCCATCTTTATGTACTTCATTTCTATCATGCGCCTACAACGGGAATGCAATCACTATGACACAAAATCCGAATAAATTATTAAAAGGAACGAATACACCTACATAACCAACATTTTTTAACCCGTAAGGCAAATCACCAAAATCAGTGGGGTAAATGTCGGGTAACATTTACCAAATTTTATTAAGAAAAACAAGTGTACAAAGGAGAGAGGGGGGCTAGACCAAAACCTCACTCGAGAAGGCATTTGTTCCCAAATACATAAAAAATTACTACAAATAATGTCTAAATGATGGAATACCAAATACATCAGCAAAGTAAGCTTTTTTAGTCGCTACAGGTAAATCCACAGGCCTGTGAAAACTCTTCGTTTCAGCCGTGGCCTGATCTGCCAGATAATGGGCCGTCCAATTCCCTTCTCGCAAGACATGAGAATAGTAACCCCCCGTTCATGTTCGAGTGCAGCACCATTTCCTGAATCACACTTCTCCATTTTCCAACTCCTCCATCTTCAATGTAACTCTAAGCTACCTTAGAATCCATCTCCACCTGAAATCCCTTATATCCTTCTCGAATCGCCCAAAGAGTAGCGATACTCACAGTAAATAACTCTGCATCCCGACTCGAAATCACTGACAAGGGAAATGAGATAGCAGCGAGCATCTCTCCGTCGTTGTTGCGCATAATCGCACCTCCACGGCTCCACTCGCAGGTAAGTACATAGCATCTGTCTTCAATTTCAGATTACTAGTTAGCTTCCTCCATTGAATCACTTTGATTCTACTTCCTCCATTTATGTATGTATGTGGATTATAATATTTTTTTACTTTTAAAAAATGTTCTTAATAATTACATTATCAAAGTTTCTCACAAATTGTTCTAAGAAAATAGATTTTTCAAATATTTTCATTTTTATAAGGAATATTTTTTTATGCCTCCAAGATATCGCACCTTGTTAAAATCGTAAAATTAATAACGTTAAACCATTAGGTAGTTTAAATATAAATAAATGGTGAAAAACACTACAAAAGAATTCGATATTGGCAGAAATTTTTGTAAGGATTCTTCAAAAATTATAAAGGATTTTGTAGGGATATGCCAAATGTGTGTTAAAAACTCAATTTAGTCCTTGTATTATCACGAAAACGTCAATTAAGTTCTTGTACTTTTAAAAAATTAATAAAATCCCCGAATTTTGAAAAAAAAAAGTTCAATTGAGTCAATTAGCAGGTTACCGCCATGTTAACAAGTAACCTGATGACGTGGTGCATATCTGGCAGCCGAGTCAACATTGACTTTGCTGAAATGGCGCATACGTGGAATCCCAGCCAACCATTTCTCGACGACGTGACGTACACGTGGACCGCCCTGTGTGTGCCACGTCATCGGGTAACCTGCTGACATCATAGATAACCGGCTAATTAACTCAATTGAAAGTTTTCAAAATTCGTGATAACAGGATAATCGGAATCTATAGTTTTCTCAAAAATAGCTTCTACATACGGATTTAACCATCGGCAACAAGAAGAAGGCAAACTATACTGTGGGATCGTCACACCATGTGCATGGTGTAGCGATCCCAATACGGTACCGTTTCAGTAAATAAAATCAACTTTTTCTCTCCTTCGACCATTTCTCCAATCCATCGCCGCCTTTTTCTTCTCCAGCACCGTTCCTTCCCCCAGTTTTTTTATTCTTCTCATGCTTCCATTAACTTTTCTTCTCTACTTCCACTTCAATTCCTTTTCTCTTGCCCTGCTTTTTGAACCGATTCCCTTTCTTCTTGTCTTCCTTTCTTTTTCTTTTCCAATTATCTTCATCTCCATTATTAAAATATTAAAAATAAGATTACAATTACTTTTATCTATAATATATTTTTTTTAAACAATTTCTTATCTCTTTTATATGTTTTTAGTTGCAATATTATATATATATATATAATATTTCTTATTTCTTTTATATGTTTTTAAGACATAAACATTGTTTATTTAGACTTACATTTGATAAATGTGTGTGGTTTACATTTCTACATGTCTAAGTTATGTTTAAAGACAATTTCTCAAATTACATTTGATAGTATATGAAGTTACATCTTCTTGTACGTGAGTTACATCTTTTTATGCGTGAGTTACATCTTTTTATGCGTGAGTTACATCTTCTTATACACGAGTTACATTTAGACTTGCCTTAACATGTTACATTTTGCATACTCCTAAATTAGATTTTCCATCAACGCAAGTTACATTTTCTATAACATGAATTACATAACATCATAAAGCCCTGCTATTCAAACAAAACAATCAGTTTTATGCAAAAATTGCCAAAAAGTGATTTTTTAGGCAAAAAAACTAATTTTCTAAAAAATATTTTTATGGCCTTATATAAAAATAGAACATATTCACTATTTAAGTAATCCCTTGCAATTGAAACAAAAAGTCATTTAAAAAAAAGATTTTTTTGGTGAAAAATAATGATTCTTTTGGGAAAATAAATGATTTTAAGAGGAAAAAAAATATTATTTATGGTCTTAATATAAAAAACAAAACATATTCACTATTTACATAAAGTAATTGAACAATTAGATTCCTTATTTTCATTGAAATCAATGTTTTAGATCTTATAATCCGTATTAGACAAGTTACACTTCGACTTGCCTGCAATTACATTTTTTATCATATTTTTACATGCGAGTAATATCATATTTTTATTGTGTTCACGCGATTTTTTTAAAATAATTGTGTAAAATCCTACACCCTAAAACTACGTCCTTTTGAGGGTGGAACTGGCAAGGGATGATCTCATGATGTACGAAGGGCCCGAAGTGCCACATCATCATATTTGCCAATCCACGCCGTCGATGTTAATGTGCCCCACCACCCTCTTCAGCAGCCGTGTCTCTCTCTTTCTTTCTGTCTCCCTCTGGAAACTTGCCTCACGTTCTCTCCAGCACGTTTTCCTTCTGTCCGGTTGATGAAATCTAGATGCTCTGCAATGGAATAGTTCATTTCAGATTAGATTTCGCTGCTGCTTTGAAGTATTCGCAGATAGATATTATTCTGAATCATGGCTTACCTCCCTATGAGACATACTCTGTCGTCCTTACCGATTAAACACTTCACTCCTCTCACAAAAATGCCCTGTAATTGCTTGACTTTCAGCTCATTCGTTATGCAAAGTGGGAGCAGAAGAATTTATCGTTCTCATAGCACGTGGAATCGGAGGTTCAGATTATTGATTGACCCGAAGCTTAGGGTTTCATGTACAGTCCAGGATAACGAAAATCCAAGCGAAGGTAAATCCGTCTATGATTTAACTTAAATTCTTTGTCATTAAATTTTCGATCTTTTCTTTCCTTTTTTGGGTTAAAATTTTGGATTACAGATAGTATTCTTATCTCCTGCACTTCTGTAAACCACTACAGGTTGCTAGCAATAGATAGTAGTGAGAATTTGTGTCTGGTCTGGTTTAACCGTGGCAAAAAGAACTAAAGTCAACTGAAATTGGACGGATCATATGCAATTCTGTTTTTGACTTTTTGTTTGTTGATGTTTTTCACACACTATTTTGATCCGAACCGAACCCTTTAATACCAAACGGAATAAAACACATGTATACAAGTATACAATAAAATCTGATTATTTTTGTAAAATACATAATAAATCCAAACCAAACAAAGCATACTTTGAATATAATTTGGTAATCTCCCCATTCCCAGATCATTTTAAACTGACCAGAGAACAAGAAAAATCCAGTGTTAAGCAGAATATACCCTGAAGGTGTTTAAACTCCCAATGCCACAACAGAAACATCCAAGCCTTAATCCCAAATTAATTTGGGGTCGGCTAACATGAATTGATCTATGAATCCCCAGGGGCGGATCCATGTTGATAAGAGGGGGGGCAGCTGCCCCCAATAAAACTCTATTAATATCCCCTTTTTCATTAGGAATAAAAAACAGTCTATACATTTGCCCCCAACAAAAAACTAAAGATGCCCCCAATAAATCTTGGCCGGCTCTACCCTATGCCTAGAGTAAAGCATTTTTCTACTATTCATTTTAGCCATTTAGGCTTATACGGAAGAGAATAAATATCAAATAAAATGATTCAAATTTCTAAACAAATAAAAAAATTGCACTGCCTTGAAGTACGAACAGACCGAGGGCTAATGAATAGATCGTGGTGTGTGAATTAGTGTCTGGAATATAACTTAAATTTATTTATATAAAAATGTTAGTAAGCCAACATGTTAAAATAACTATATAAGGTAAATAAATCTTTTATCCAATTGTAAATTAAAATACATAACAACCCAGTTAACACATTTACGCAGGGCCGGTCTCGAGAAATAGGAGGCCCTGTTCAAAAAAAATATGAGGCCCTATATATCAACAAAATAGAACACTAATAATGAAAGAAAAAGCAATTTTAAATGTTGTAATATTACTACAGAGTCCAGACTAAATGCAATTCTGCCCATTGACTAATAAATACTATGGATATCACAACCATATTTTTCTATCAGGATTCATAGTTCTAATTCTACCAAGCATTGTAATTTCTAAAAAGAAAAAGAATTTAGAAATAACAATTAACAGATAATTAGTACGTAGTATAATCAATTAAAGAAAAAATTGGAAGAAAAACACCATAAGAATTAGAGGCCATCCAACTGGGTTTAACTCAATCATCGTCTCTCAGTAGATGATGGAACACCAAACTGCTAAAGGCATCAAGACTCAAAAAAAATCATAAATTGAATTTAGAAGCTCTGAAGCCACAAATCCAGAAACCTGAACAACCGAACAAAAAACAAAATGAAAGGGAAGATTGCATAAATAAGAAGGTTTGAACTCCGAACTCTGAAGAAGACGCCAAAGTATTGGAATTAAGTGGAATGCAACTTGTTCGTCTGTTGGATATTTAACAATAAAATCCTAGTTAGATAAAAAATTAAATTTCATTCCATGCCTTAGTCTCCTCGGAATTGTAGATAATTCGCCTCTTCAATTCTCTATTCGTCTTTACGTCTTCCGAGTTCCGATGAATAGGCGTATAAGTTATCGTAGCTTTCAGCGTCAAAAGAAGATGACTGCGCAAAGAGACGGTCTAAATGTCTAATAGATATGGGCTGGAATAATTTATTCCCTAATGGGCTTACTAATAAAAATGGAGGCCCTACTAAGATTAGGGGCCCTGTGCACTTGCACCTATTGCACCTGGGTCGGGCCGGGCCTGCATTTACGGTAGAATATTTATATAGTCTTCAAAACTAGAATTGCATTACCTAAGGTACTACTTGTTAAAAAACAAAAAAAAAACATTGATTTATCATTTTAAATCAGTCTTAATGAATAGATTGTTGAATAAAACACTTCGAGAAAAGAGGCAAGTAATCCCTCAAACTATTTGCGATTCTGCAATCAGGCCTCGAAACCGGAAGACTTGCAAATACACCCCTCAACTCATTGAAAAGTAAGCAATTGGATCCTTTTCTTACCTGTTGATGTAGGTAAGGAGATGATAGATTAACGGAACCAGCAGCTAAAAAAGATCTTATTGTTTAATTTTCAACGAGTTGAGGAGTGTATCTGCAAGTCTTCCGGTTCATGGGCCTGATTGCAGAATCGCAAATAATTCGAGGCTTATTCGCCCCTTTTCTCAAACACTTTTATTGCCTTGAACAGTTAATTTTGATAACTAATTTGAGTAATAGAATCGATGACTAATGTGTTTTTTTTGTTATGGTCTAGTTTGTTTATACAAGGAGATTTACTCCCTCCGTCCCAATTTACTTAGCCAAACTTGGCTTTTGAAGTCAACAACGTCCAACTTTGACCGATTATATGTTTATATAGAGAAAGTATAGATAATATGAAAATGATATGAAAATGTTCTTTGTTAAATACTATTATAAAAGTATAAAATTATTAAATTTTGCATAAATATATTAGCTTAAATAATTGGTCAAAGTTAGAGGCCGTTGACTTGAAAAGTCAAGTTTGGCTAAGTAAATTGAGACGGAGGTAGTATTTAATAGTCACAAAAAGATGAAAACCCGAGAAGAGCAATTGTGATCAACTTTTTTTATGGGGTTTGATATTGTTATATGCTTTATTTAGTTTGAACCAATTCTACTGTACTATAGAAAAAACTTTAACAAAGAACAAATACTATAATAGTTTTGTTTAGAAAAAATCCTATAATAGTTAGAAACCACAACCAAAAAAGTAAGTAATAAAACACTTTTTCTATTCGGTCTAATATACTTAATTATTTTTTTAGAGACGTTTTTTCCATGAATATACTTCATTAATTATTCTGCCCCCAATAATTTTTATTTCTGGATCCGCCACTGTGAATCCCAACGCCAATGCCAAAAAACTTTTCAAGTAATATTATCATTCTTATGCTGGTATAATTTATCTTTAGCTTTGCACAATCCTTCTGGCAAGAATTGGGTTCCATTGTTAATACTCATTTTAATTTCATGCTTGTTTAGGAGAAGAACCTCCCGAGTCATTGTTTGTTAAAGAGTTGAAAAGACGAGGCATGACTCCTACATCATTACTTGAAGAAAGCAACAAAAAGATACATGAGAGTGGAACAAAAATCAAGGAGGAAGATGGAAGCTTATTTCGTAAAAGTGATGTCTCAACAGAATCAGGAAGAAACTTATATAATCAGAGAGAGCAGTCTATGGCTTTAAATAGTGAAGGCATTGAGGTTTGCATTTATTACATTTTCTGTGTTACTTTTGTTTAGTTGATTGGATCTACTCATTAGTTCCCATAACCTCTTTTTATATCACATGACATCTGAGTTCTGATTTATTGGACTTGTACACTCTAAACCCAGTTTGGTGGGCTTAAATGCACTGATAAACTTGAGAATTTTGTTAAGAATCATCAAATCCCCTATTGTTTGGTTGACTTTTCTGGTAATTTTTTTAGCCTAAGAGCCGCCAACCCTTATATTTTTGGCTGATTTGACTAATATCAACTTAAATAGCATGGTTACCGTTCTTTGTGTGGTCTCAAATAAAAACTCATCACATATCCTTCAATGTGATTCCACACCCATCAGTCATTTCAGCAAATAAATTACCTTACACTTTCTAATTCTACCAATTTCAACCATGCTAACAACCCCCAAAGGGTTTGTATTTTAGGGATGTTTGTTAAGTTTGCATATATGCTCTCAAACTCTACCGATATCTGTATTTCTACATGCACTTCGGGGTGCTTTTTATTGCTAAGACAATTAGACAGCTATCCAAGAGCTAACACTAAAGACTGAATTTACCAGTCCATGGTTCTTGTTCTTAATTTCTAACTAGATGCATTTACTTCGAGTTACTTTTCTTTGAGTTGTGTGCAGTTTTTTCCCCAAGTTTTTTCCATAATATATTATTTTTCCTCATATCCTAATACTTTCTTCAGGGCTTAATTCCGCGAGCTAAGCTTTTACTTACCCTTGGAGGGTCATTCATTTTGGGATTTGGCCCATTGATCCTAGTAATCATTGCATTTTTCTCTGCTTTGTACGTGGTAAGTCCAATGTTATGATATGCCATGTGTCTTAAGTCTCAACCATCTCTCTTTTTTTCTCAGCAAAACGATGAAATTTCATTTTCTTTCCCGCATTGAACCTCGCCCATTTGAATAACAAAGACATCTTCATTTTAAATAACAGTATTCTGGACCCAAATTTATCCACGACGCAAGCAACACGCACATCACTCCTCCGAAATACGTTGATCCTTATGCACTCCTTGAAGAAGAAAGGATATCACAGAAGGTCAATGATCTAAAATTCTAAATTGAAGAAGTAAACCTCACTTTACACATGAGAAGTACATGTTTATGCCTATTTTACCCTTTTGCTTAATTTTCTTTTTGTTAGAATCTAGGATTTTACAAGTAGGTTTATCTTTTCTCTGACGTGTAAAGTATGTATCTTATCGCCGTGATTCCGTGAAGGTGTCTTCAAATGAATTGGCTCTTTGTATCGGCAGAAATGCATGTTTTATATAATTACTATATGAGCAGGAATAGGCAGTTTGCATTCAGTCTAAATGTTCGTTCATATATAGGCACAATTGTTGAACAATAAACTTCAAGATTCCAAATTTCCCGTTGTAAGAATTAAAGATAGAATAGTAATGAGAAGAATGATTTTTGTGTATCTTTCATTGGAGGGTCAAGCCCATATATATATACATTACAAAGATAGAATATTCCTTTAAGATTCTATACAATAATAATATCCTAGAGTATATTCCTAAAATATTCTAAAGCATATTCTAAAGATAGAAGAATATTCTAAAACATATTCTAAAGAATATTCTATAATGTCTTTAACACTCCTCCTCAAGTTGGAGCATAAATATTTATCATGCCCAACTTGTTACATAAGTAACCAACACGAATTCCATTTAGTGCTTTAGTGAACAAATCTCCAAGTTGCTCTCCAGTCTTCACATGTCCCGTAGAGATCAATCCTTGTTGTATCTTTTCTCGAACAAAGTGACAATCGATCTCAATATGTTTTGTTCTCTCATGAAACACCGGATTGTTGGCAATGTGTATAGCAGCTTGGTTATCGCACCAGAGTTTAGCAGGCATTGGTGTCTTCAATCTGTATCTTTTATCCAGATTCAGAACTCCATGGAGAATGATGTCATGGGGTATGTTAGTCATTGTGATACTGTGAAAGAATTCTTTGATTATTTGGAATTTATGTATTCTGGCAAAGGTAATCTTAACCACATCTATGAGGTGTGCAAAGCCTTTTACAGGGCAGAAATGAAAAATAAGCCTCTCACAACTTATTTTATGGATTTCAAGAAAATGTATGAAGAACTTAATACCTTAATGCCCTTTAATCCTGATATCAAAGTGCAGCAGAAACAACGCGAACAAATGGCAGTCATGAGCTTTTTGGCCGGTCTTACGTCTGATTTTGAAACAGCCAAATCACATATCCTATCTAGTGATGTGGTCTCTTCTCTTCAAGATGCTTTTAGTAGAGTGCTTCGCACTGACACTTCATCCACATCATCGGCACCTCAGCCAAGCAATGCTTTTGTAGGGCAAGTCCCAACATTCCCCAATGGAGGTGAGAAGTGGCCACGCACAGGACTGATTGGCAAAGGAGTAGTATGCAACTACTGTAAGAAACCCGGACACTTGATCAAAGATTGTCGAAAGCTAAAGTTCAAAAATCAAGGAAATCAAGTCGCTCACATTGCTTCCGCTACACAGCCATCTAATGGATCCATCATTATGTCTTCGGAGGAATATGCCAAATTCCTAGGTTACCAGGAGGCTCTAAAGCATTCATCTACTCCTATCTCAGCTGTAGCTAATTCAGGTAATCCAAACACATGTCTTGTATCTTCATCCTCAAAATGGGTTATCGATTCAGGAGCAACAGATCATATGACAGGTAATCCTAGTCTTTTTCCTCATTCCACACACCTCTTCATACTTCTAGTGTGACTTTGGCTGACGGATCTACGTCACCCGTTCTTGGTACGGGTACAATTGTCCCAACATCTACCTTACCTTTGTCACCCGTCCTAAGTCTTCCAAATTTTGCTTTCAATTTGATTTCGATCAGCAAAATCACACGTAAACTTAATTGTTCCGTAACCTTTTTTCCTGGATATTGTGTATTTCAGGATCTGTTGACGAATCAGGTTATTGGTAAAGGATATGAGTCGGCCGGTCTCTATCTCTTGGATACATCCTTACCCAAATCAATCTCTTGTCTTGGCATTGGAACTGTGTTAGAGGCTCACTATCGACTAGGTCACCCTTCTCTTCCGTTGTTAAAGAAGTTTTATCCTCAATTCAATAAGGTGTCATCTTTACAGTGTGATTCGTGTCAATTTGCAAAACATCATCGAAGTAGTCTAAGTCCTCGAGTCAATAAACGAACACATGCTCCTTTTGAACTGGTTCATTCTGATGTTTGGGGTGCTTGCCCTGTTGTGTCCAAATCTGGTTTTAAATATTTTGTTACCTTTATTGATGATTATTCTCGTATGACTTGGATTTATTTCATGAAACGTCGTTCCGAGTTATTTTCTCATTTTTGTGCCTTTTGTGCTGAAATCAAAACTCAATTTAATGTACATGTTCGTATTTTAAGGGGAGACAATGCTCAAGAGTATTTGTCTGCCTCATTTAAGTTGTATATGGCTCAACATGGCATAATTCATCAAACTTCATGTGTAGACACACCTCCCCAAAATGGAGTTGCTGAACGAAAGAACAGACATCTATTAGAAACTGCGCGGGCTCTTCTATTCCAAATGAATGTGCCAAAACATTTTTGGGCAGATGCTGTGTCCACCGCATGTTTTTTGATCAATCGAATGCCATCTACTGTTTTAGATGGTAAAACTCCATATCAGTGCCTATTTCCAAATAATGAAAATTTTCCTATTCCTCCTAAAGTTTTTGGTTGCACTTGTTTTGTACGAGATGTTAATCCCCATTTAACAAAGTTAGATCCCAAGTCATTAAAGTGCATTTTCTTAGGCTACTCTCGAGTTCAAAAGGGGTACAGATGTTTTTCTCCAAGTACAGGTCGGTATATTGTTTCAATTGATGTCTTCTTTTATGAAAATACACCATTTTCATCAACAGACACAAATATCTGTAGGGAGAATGATGATATACTCATTTACACAGTCACTATACCCGAGTCCAATACTTCAGCAGTTCTTCCCCATGTTACTTTTCCTGAGCCTAGGCCTCCGATACACTTGGTATACACCCGTCGACACAAAGTGCAAGATCACCCTCCACATGTGGTTACTTCTCCTGATACTGATCCGATCTCATATCCTGAACCGACACCTGCATCTTCAGATCCTGTCTCTACATCAGATCTTGATCTCCCCATCGCACTACGTAAAGGTACACGGTCTTGTACTCATCCTATTTCTTCATGTGTGTCGTATAATCAGTTATCATCTGCCTCATGTTCTTTTATTGCTTCCATTGATTCTATTTCTGTTCCCAAATCTGTTAAAGATGCTTTGTCTCATCCTGATTGGCGTCATGCCATGGTAGAGGAAATGAATGCTTTGGATCTTAATGGTACAGGGAAGAAGTCTATAGGATGTAAGTGGGTCTTTGCTGTAAAGGTTAACCCTGACGGATCCGTTGCTCGATTGAAAGCCCGATTAGTTGCGAAGGGTTATGCTCAAACCTATGGCGTTGATTATTCTGACACATTTTCTCCTGTTGCTAAATTAACATCTGTCAGATTACTTATTTCTCTCGCAGCAACTCATGGTTGGCACTTACATCAATTGGACATTAAGAATGCATTCTTGCATGGTGATCTTCAGGAGGAAGTTTATATTGAGCAACCTCCGGGGTTTGTTGCTCAGGGGGAGTATGGGAAAGTTTGTCGACTTCACAAGTCTCTTTATGGTTTGAAACAGAGTCCCCGTGCATGGTTCGGGAAATTCAGCCAATCAATTGAACGATTTGGGATGATAAAAGGCAAATCAGATCACTCTGTATTTTACAGACAAACGAAAACAGGTATTACATTGCTTGTGGTGTATGTCGATGACATTGTGATTACAGGGAGTGATAATACAGGTATTTTGGCCCTAAAGAATTTTCTTCATAGTCAATTCCAGACGAAAGATTTGGGCTCATTGAAATACTTCTTGGGAATTGAGGTTACACGGAGTAAGAAAGGCTCCCATGATTCGGGCTCATTGAAACACTTCCAGACGAAAGATTTGGGCTCAACGTAAATATGTGCTTGACTTACTAACTGAAACAGGGAAATTGGGGGCAAAACCAAGCAGTACTCCCATGATTCCCAATGTACAACTCACTCATGAAGGTATGCCATTCGAAGATCCGAAAAGATATAGACGGTTGGTTGGAAAACTTAATTATCTCGCAGTTACCCGTCCAGATATTGCATACTCAGTGAGTGTAGTAAGTCAATACATGTCATCTCCGACAGTGGATCATTGGAATGCTGTAGAGCATATATTATGTTACTTGAAGGGGACACCGGGACGAGGTATTGTTTATCAGAATCATAATCACATGAGAATAGAATGCTTTGCAGATGCTGATTGGGCTGGATCTAAAGATGATAGAAGATCCACATCTGACTATTGCGTCTTTGTTGGTGGTAATCTCGTCTCTTGAAAAAGTAAGAAGCAGAATGTGGTTTCTCGTTCGAGTGCTGAATCAGAATATCGGGCTATGGCACAATCGGCATGTGAGATAATCTGGATAAATAATCTAGAATCATCACGAAGCCAGTCAGCATTAGCAGCTCTATCAATCTCCTCCTTTGGCGGGTCATCAAATAAGCGAGTGTATTTATCAATGCTTCGTAAATAACGTTTGATAGTTTTACTCCATTCAAGATAGTTAGAGCCACAAAGTTTATTCTCAGTAATTTTAAAATTAATGGGAATAACTTCGGAAACTACCAAAGGTTGAGCATGTTGTACGGTGGAAGTGTCTGTATCAGAACCAGGCATTTTTTTTTTTTGATTTTTTTTTTGACTTTTTTTTTTGACTTTTTTTTTAATTGCAGAAATAAGATGTTATGTATTAAGTAAACTTACAGTGACCAAAATACTATCCTTGAATGTCGTTGTTACTTAATAAGAAAAGTCACAGAAAGATAATACCGTTCAAGACACCGGAAAATAGTTCTGATGGATTCTCCGGCGATTGGGTCTGCGATTAGGTCTGCGAGGTCCTTTGACGGCACGTGTGGCCTGCGGATTTCGAGTGTAAGGTCGGCGGCGGAAGGTGTGACTGCTTAGGGTGGAGGTGATGCTCTGTGAAACTGTGGATTTTGGACTGAGGTTCTGAATTTTGGGCTAAGGTTCTGGCTGAGGCATGAACTGAGATTCTGAAAAATACTGCTAAGCTAAACTGGAACAGATTGCTCTGATACCATGTTGTAAGAATTAAAGATAGAATAGTAATGAGAAGAATGATTTTTGTGTATCTTTCATCGGAGGGTCAAGCCCATATATATATATACATTACAAAGATAGAATATTCCTTTAAGATTCTATACAATAATAATATCCTAGAGTATATTCCTAAAATATTCTAAAGCATATTCTAAAGATAGAAGAATATTCTAAAACATTTTCTAAAGAATATTCTATAATGTCTTTCACGTTTCCAATGAATGACTTTTGCACTACACATCCCAAAAGAAATCAAGCATAGGCCTTGATTACATCTGATTTATGATCCGTCACATAAACAGAGTTATGTTTGACCGAGGCATGACTTTTTATATCTAGCAAGGTACAAAACTACAGATGTTAGAAATCATAAGTGGTGCTTAACTTTTTACACTTTTTAATGACAATATCATTAAATTGATCGTATAATATTTGGAAAAGCATCCGGAGAGAGTTCATTTATATATGGAATAATAAGTCTATTCACCCAAAATTTAGTGACAGCTTTATAAGCACTACAACACGTAAGATGAAAGAAAATAAGCAGTCTATCTATCAACTTGAGCGAGTCTCTATAGAGGCATAGAGTCATAAGCCATTGGATCTCGAATTAAGCGATTGCATGATTGAAAAATGTAGCTTTAAAAAAGTTGATATGTTTTCAAACAACTATTTCATTCTTAAATTAAACACTTTAAAATTAAAAGCTAGCAAGTTAAAAGCTAGCAAGCAGTAAGGGATGGATATGTTTGAAAATGTTTTTTTTTTCCTTTTCTATTAAAAACACTTTTTCATCAAACACTCTAACTTTTACTTTTTTAAAATGTTTTTTTTTTCCTAAAAATCAGTTTTCATAAAATATTTAAAATTAATCACTTCTCATAAGTAGAAGCTTCCATAAATGCACTATAATCCATCTCAGATGTCATTATCATTGAATACATGTGTAGGCGTGCTTGTGTAGTCACTTGAAAATTCATACTAGTACAAGAGGACATTTACTAGGATATAAAATAATTACTATGTATGTGAAATTTATGAATGTGGGGATGAGAGTTTACATTGATCATTTGACTTGAATGTTTAACGTGAACTCGGTTACATTTTCTTAAGCATTTTCTTAGGGGAGGGCGGTTAAATACTTTGTGTGTTTTTTTATAAAGCAGAATGAATTTACAAAAATATATAAATAAGTTAAACACCCAATCAATGTATTTTCATTCTACACCCGTAATCATTTTGTTTGCAAAGTTTTAATGTGAACACCACTAAACAAACAAAACTTTTAAACATGTTAGATACATAGTACCATTAGTACGTACGTTCTAAGTAGTATATATGTTTATCAAATTTGAGGTGAACCAAAGGGAGGAACTATGTTAGGGCTATATAGTTGGCTGAAATCCGGTTTTCATATTTAATCTAGCCCACAATACTCTACGTACTATGTTTAAGTCGAGTATAATTAATTATTTGTCAGACTTCAACTCAATCCAACTCATATTTCTGAATCCACCCCTCAGCGAACCGGAGTTAATTAATTAATGGGAAAAGGTAAAAATATACCCCTATACTATGAGAGTGAGAACAAATATACCACTGTTCTATTTTTGAGAACAAATATACCCCTGAAGTATATGTTGAAGTGCATATATACCCCTAAACTTTTAAAAAGTGCAAAAATGCACCTCATGTTCTTATAAAGAAGCAAATTTATCCTTATCGACATAAATAGATAAAATAAATTTCATAAAACATAAAAAACAAAATATATATTCGAAATTTAAAAATAAAGATTTATTATTATGTTAAAATATTAACTCTTTAATTCTAAATTGCAAAATTATTATTTTTCCGTTGTAAATGAAGCACTTCAAATTCATAAATATTAATTTTAATCTTATTGTGAAATTTTGAACATAATTATATTTTTTAAATAACATTCTTTGATTTTTTTAATCTTAATATAATTATATTCACTATTTTTAATCTTGAACTATTTATCATCATACAAAATATGTAATTTTATACTGTAAATAATGCCAAATTTTTTTTTACATTGGAACACATATGTTAACACTATTTTCGAAAGAATCTTAAATATATAGTAAAGTTTTGAAATAATATTTTATACTAACAATATTAAAATGTGATATACAAACAATAAACGAGAGAATTGGAGACAAGTACATTTTTAAAATTTTGTGTTTTGTAATTTTGAATTTGTAATTCATCTTTGGTGTTTTTTGAATTTTGTTTTATCAATTTAAATTTAATAATGGTATATTTGCTCCTTTATGAGAAAATCAGGGCTATTCTTGCACCTTTTAAAAAGTTTAGGGATATATATGTATTTCTACATATACTTCAGGGATATATTTGTTCTAAAAAATAGAACAAAAGTATATTTGTTCTAACACTCGTATTTGTAAATTTTCTCTTAATTAATTGGCCGTCTCCAAAGCTATGCTTGTGCGCAATTGCGGATACATACACATGCATGAATGCATGTAGACATATATGTGTGTTGAATTAACGTATGCGTGTGTGTACTCTAACCCGAATAGTTCGTTAATATCTAAAAACAATAGGGAGTATATATATATATATATATATATATATATATATATATATATATATATATATATATATATATATATATATATATATATATATATATATATATATATATATATATATATATATATATATATATATATATATATAGCATGCTGGCAAAGTTAATGTATTCAGTTAGTTATATGATGAAGTTGGGAGCTTGTTGAATTAATTGTGTCCAATTCATCTATATATCCTCCAAATCAACGTTATACTATACACATTTGCATGCATGCCCGGTGAATGCATATAATATATTACAATCGATCAAGACCGCCACCGCCACTGCCAACCGCCGTGCCCTATTATTTTTATTATTCCTTCTGACCGGAACCGGAAAGATCCGTCCGTCCGTCCGTCGTGAAGATCCGTCCTATCTCTATCTAGCTATCATCATATCGGCGCAGCAATACATAATGGAGAGAAGCTCCGCCGGCGGTGTAGAATTAGAGGGTGGTTGCGACCATCCCAACTTTGACGACGACGGCCGCGTAAAACGAACTGGTTGGTACCTAGCTACGTATTTTCATTCTTTAATTAGTTTTTCCGTATGATAACGCCGGCCGGCTAGTAATTGATTATGGAAAAGCTGTTTGTGAAATTAATTAAATTGTTTGAGTCACATACAAGGTGGCTCGGTTTTTTGTCAAATTGCGTATGATATCGAGAAAATTTTGATACAAAATTTGTTTGTATAGTATCATAATATCACTATCACAAACAATATTTTTTGGTGGTATCACAAACAATTTCTCTTAAAAACTAACCATAAGACTTCCACTCTCATATGAACACCATAACTAATTTAAAAATAAAATGCAATAATTAGTGTGTGTAGAATTGGTATAAAATATTCAAAGTATGAAAGTCGTATGATTATACGAAAATATTTTTTGTTAAAAATACTTTCATAAACTACAATTATGAAATACGGAGTATTAGTAATATCACAATTTGGCCAAACATGGTTATCATTAGCTAAGAGAGGTCAATATGGCCGGGCAAATAATTTTGTAAGAAAAATAATGTAGGTTTGCCATTTTTGGTCCCCGACTATTTGACTTCTAATCTTTCCATTTTTAGTTCTCGACTATTCTGTTGGAGACACATTTAGTCCCCGACTTCAAGGTTTCCCACATTTAGTCCCTGAGTATTGTTAAATTGACACTTTTAGTTCTCCCATTATGATTTTGACACAATAAGTGCAGGACTAAAAATTTGAATCCATCCTTACTCCCACCCTTTCATTTGATCAAATGTGTGCTGATGGTTCCATGTATAATAAATAGGAACATTGATGACAACAATAGCACATATAATAACAGCGGTGATTGGGTCAGGAGTGCTATCTCTAGCTTGGGCTATAGCACAGTTGGGATGGATCGCCGGCCCAATAACACTCTTCCTCTTTGCCCTCCTTACCTGGTATGCTTCTAGTCTGCTTTCTGATTGCTACCGCTCCCCGGATGGGAAAAGGAACACCACTTACATGCAAGCTGTTACAACACATCTAGGTATCACATATGTCTCATATACAGATATATTAATTATACTCTCTTTGACTTTGACATGTTTGACCATTCAACAATGGTCATGGCCGACCGAATGAAATAAGCCCTCGAATTAAGCGAAAAAGTGCAGATCACCCCTTTTATTGGAGACTATATATGTCTGATCGTCGCCATTTGGGGCGATTAACGGTAGAATTTTAGGTAAAAATTCTTTTTTTACCCATCAGAATTTTAGGCCATTTGAGGCGATAGATTTTTTTTTGAGCATCTTCTTCATTAAGTCTTGTTTACCCATCCCAAATTTCAGGTAAAAATTCAACCATGAAGGCAATCAAATGATTTTCTGAAATATATTGCGTTGTTTAACTGCGCAGTTATCTTCAAACATTTATTTGACTGCCTTCACGCTTGAATTTTTAGTTGAAATTTGGTATGGGTAAATTAGACTTATTGAAGAAGATGTTCCACAAAAAATTCATCAAAAAATTCCACCAAGAACCTCCTCAAATAGAGATGGCCGGACAGAACCTCCTATAAAAGGGAGGGATATTTTCACTTTTTCGGTTAGTTCGAGGACTTATTTGCCCCTTTTTCCTTTTTATGTGGAATGCATTCTCTCATTTCAAGTGATTAGGGCCTAACATAACCCCGAGATATGCTCATGTGGGTCATTGGGTGTCTATGATAATAAATTAGAAATTGTGTATTTAAAATTTATGCAAGGAGCTACGACCGAAATTATTAAAAAGGAAAGTAATGGGCAAAAGAATGAAACATAGAAAAGTGTAGTATATATGATGCCTACAAGACGTATAAATGAAACATAGAAAACTTTACAACAAAACATATGTGTTGATTGAGTTCATGTTTAATTGTCTTGGACATATAAATGAAGCTTATGCGATCGATTTTATTATATTTTAGGAGGGTGTAACATCAAGCTTTGTGGAATAGCTCAGTATACAAATCTCGTTGGGACTAGCATCGGATACACTATCACCACATCACTCAGTTTAATGTAATTCATTTTTCCTTTCTTATTTATTATTATTGTTGTTATGGAGCAGCAGTCAGTCCATGTAATCCGAAAACAGTCTCTCTGTGCTTTAGTGCAGGGGTAAGACTGCGTACATCTGATCCCCCTTACCTCAACATAGGTAGGAGCCTTTTGCGGCACTGGGGTAAATGAAAATGAATTTATTATATTTGTTGTTGTTATTATTGTTGTTATTTACTTACGTATAAATTTTATTCTTGCTATTCTTGTCTTTGCATTCAGGGCAATTGACAAATCTAACTGTTATCATAAATATGGACACAAGGCTGATTGTCGGCAGAAGAATAGCATCTTCACAATTGTATTTGGAATAGCTCAAGTTGTTCTAAGCCAGATTCCAAACATTCACGAACTCGCATATCTCTCCCTTATTGCCTCTATCATGTCCTTTGCTTACTCTTCCATTGGTCTCGCCCTCTCCATTGATAGAATTGCAAGTGAGTGATCTAAACCTAGCTATATACCCCACATTCTTTTATCGATTACTTCTTCCATCCCGAATTGAATTGCAGTTCACGGATTTTAAGGTTGACTTATGATAAAATTGAATTGTCATTGCAGATAGTTTACACATTCAGAAACTGTATTGAAACTTCTATAAATTCGCAAAGTCCAACAAATTAGAAATAATAGAAATTTCATGTGCTAAATAAGCAATTGCAGTGAAATTATATTACTAATAAAAGTTGACTTTGCAAATCAGGATGACGGAGGGAGTATATATTTGACTACTACTACAATAGTCACAATCTTTGTTGGGAAATTGCACTCATTTTAAAGAATTGATGAGAAGGAAAGTATATCAACTTTTGTTTGTTTTCAAATTATATAGCTAGACCACCTTTGAAAATTGTTTATGTTCTTGATATTTTAATGATTAACATATGCATTCCAAATAAAATTAACATTAACAATACATTTATAATGATTAGGAGGGACACATGTGACAACTAGCATTACAGGAAGGCCAATTGGACCCAACTTCTCAAGTACAGAAAAAATGTGGAATATCTTTGCTGCCGTTGGAGACATTGCCTTTGCCTACATTTTCTCTAATGTCCTGGTTGAAATACAGGCATGCATGGATGACTCTATGTTTTTATCTTGGAATAAAAATTTCTTCATTAAGCAATCTTTGTGAACTTGATTATTAAACTGAAAACGTTTATTGTGTTTATTGAAGGACACAATAAAAGCCTCTCCAAAGGAGAATAAAGTGATGAAACGTGCCACTTTCTATGGTATATTTATATCCTCCATCTTCTACGTCCTTTGTGGTTTGCTAGGATATGCCGCATTTGGGAATGATGCACCTTCCAACTTTCTAACTGCATTTGGTTTCTATGATCCATTCTGGCTCATTGATCTTGCCAATGTCTGCATTATTGTTCACCTCCTCGGAGCATACCAGGTACAACCAATATGAAAAACTAAGAAAATTTAGGTGAAATAAATTGAAACCTATATATATGAGAAACTGCATTACAAGATCTAGATTTTGGGCTCAACCAATATGAAAAATGAAACAAAAATAAAATGAGAAAGAAAGGGAAACTGCCTTAAATATGAGTAAACCGGTTTTGAAATTTCAAAATAGAACTGCTATGACTCTCTTCTTGAAATATTGTCATATTAATGTTTAGTACTGCATCTATTTTGACAGTAATAACTCCAAGATGACAGTAAATATCACTGAGTACCATATTATTCGCATTTCAGGAAGAAAAATAAAACAATCCTATTTTGGAATTTCAAAAACCTGTTTACTCTTATTTTAATTCGGGAACATTCCCAAATCGAGAATACCCAAAATTGTTTATTTATTTCTCCGGTTAACGGTTGATAGCAGAGGCGTATCCAGAAATTTGGGATGCCCTTGGCTAAAGAGTATTTATACTAGGCTTAAACATTAGCATGGTAGCTAAATATGAAAAATGAAAAAATTATTTAGACAATTGAAAAAATTAAGTTACCCTAAACTTCAGTCCACCATAATTCGTATGTAGATCCTCCACTGATTGATAGCATATAAATAGGTTTTCGCGCAACCGGTATTCGCATTTGTGGAAGAAAGGTGCAAGAAGAGATGGCCAGAGAGTAAGATGATGAATGCAGAAACATGCATTAAAATGGGATCAAAAAAAGGGTGGAGCTTGAGTTTATTCAAGTTGATATGGAGGACTGGGTATGTGATAATTACGACCTTGGTGGCGATGTTGTTCCCATTTTTCAATGACTTTGTGGGTCTTCTTGGAGCTATCTCCTACTGGCCCCTAACCATTTACTTCCCAATCCAGATGTACATTGCAAGAACCAAGACTCCGAGGTTCTCATTCGTTTGGGTATGGCTCCAAATTTTATGTGTAGTTTGCTTCATACTTTCACTATTAGCGGCTGCTGGATCACTACGTGGCCTTATCCTCTCTATCAGGACATATAAACCCTTCCAAGCTAAGTCATGACTCTCATCTCAGTGGCCGCGGCAATCCTCAATGTTTTACAGTATATATAGCTAGTGAACTATGCATGTGTATGTAATTAACTAGCTAGCTTGACCCAAGTCTGATGTACTATGTATAATTCAAGCAAATTATCTTTATATAAAGAATATCATAACGCATCCTCACCATGTAAGGGAAAGCTTGTTTAAGAATAAAGTATATATGTTATATCGGTAGAGAACTCCTATTTCATGCCATGTAGATACTTTAGCGTGTGACATACTTTATACTACATATATTCTTGCATCATTATTATGAGCACTTTCTATATCACCAAGATGTGTATTGAATATTTATACAAAAGAATGTTATGGCTAGCTTTTACGTTCTTCATTATAAATTTCACCATACTACCTATTCAATATTACAAATTTATCCATTGTTAACCTTGCAAATGACATATTAATAAATTAATGCACAATATTTAGACACAATATTTAGCGACGAAATAGTAGGGATAATGAATAGTTTAGAAAAACTGAAAAAGTACGAGAGAAGGTGGAAAAGTTGTTACATTTTTTTGTTTGGGATGTATTTAAAAGTTTGTTACATTTTCCCTTGGTACACATACACAAGTACATAACAACAAATTATTACTGAGTAATACACAAAATGAAGCTAAGTCAATATCACCAAGCATCTTTTTGAATTCTATATACGTTTTTAATTTTAAGTAAAATAACACTAAAATAAATACATGCTTCCTCAATTAAGTTCTCACTTTCCTTTTCGAGATATCTCATAATTAAGTTCCTACTTTATTTCATTTCTATTTTTCGGTAAGTTTTTGGTGTAAAACTACCCATTTGCCCTTCTAAATACCTCTAACCCTTGGGTTTGAGCGCTTCCTTACCCTTTCCTCTCCTGCTACCTTTCATCATGATCCTCTCTCTCTCTCTCTCTCTCTCTCTCTCTCTCTCTCTCCCTCCCTCCCTCCCTCCCCCCGCTACCCTTCTTCTGTGTTGATGCTTCAGTCTTCACTGCAGACGAGATTCGAGCTCAGAGGACGACCACGACGCTGCTACTCTCAATTCATTGGTGCTAAATAAATAGTCAAATCACAATCGTACTGGACTTTGATATCATGTTAAGACATGAGGTTCCATCTAGATGTTGTCTTCAAAAGATTGCAGTTTCCTCATATTTTAATGCTTGAACTTTACAAATGCTTAGTAATATATTTTAATTTTTAGACATGAACTTTACAAATGCTTAGTAATAATATATTTAATTTCCCCCCTCATATTTAGCAAATTCAATTAGTTCACCCACTTCAATCAAAATTTATCGGTTTCAACATATTCAATCTATTTCGATGTTACCTAACAACCTCTGAAAATTGCGGAGTAATTATTAATTACTAATGAGCGGCCTCTTATATCGTTGTCATCTTTTTTTTTTGGGGTTGTCCAAAAAAGTTGTTTTCTCTTTAAATCAATATTAATTATTTGGAAAATTATAAGGGAAGGAAGAACTATTAGTTAATGAGTTAGTTGATACTACCTTCGTCCCACTAACTCTGAGACAAGAGTAGATGACGCGATTATTAAGAAAAGTCCATTTGTGTGATTAGTATTTAATTGATAAAGTAAGAATAAATTAAGAATGATTTAGAGTAAAACAAACTTTAATAAATTTGGTATGAGACAATCTTAATGAGATTTCGAGTAAAATGTGAGCCACAAATTGGTACGAGGGTACTATCTATCGGGCTACTAGACTCTTCCCACAAATTGAGCCAAATATAGGGAGTGTTTACGATTGCTTCTAGTTTAATAAAATGCTTTTTAAAATGATTTTAGAGAACGTGATTAATAGTAAAAGTTGATTGTGTTTGAAAAAAAGTACTTCTGAAAAAGTAAAAGTTGATAGTGTTTGGTAGAATAAGTGCTTTTGTGAATAGAAAAAGTGAAAAACAGTTTAAAGCACTCATCTACTTGCTTCCATCTTTTAATTTTTAAGTATTTAATTTAAAGAGAAGCTGTCGTTTGAAAACACATGTATCTATTATGATAAATGTATCTATTTAATTTTTAAGTATTTAATTTAAGGAGACGCTGTCTCTTCAAAACTTATAAGCCAAAAGGGAAAAACATTTTACTTTTCAAACACTCGGCCTCCATCGGCTGTGCATACTGCATAGGGTGGGCATAAAACCCGAACCGAACCGGTACCGAATCGTCTCGTAATGGTACCGAACCGAATACTGGGTATTTAAATGGTTCTATAGATTTTTATCCCGTACCAAAACCGAACCGTTTGAAATGGGTACGAGACCGGTCCTAGATTTTGAGAACCGTTCGAAAATAATGCATTTGAATTTTTTATAATTTATCTATACCAATAGATCTCTTTTATAGACAAATAATTTTATAGCCCACATATGTATTCATGCGTTCCTAAACTAGCTAAATGTGTATGTTTATATTATATATATATATATTGTTATTTTTCCTTTTTAGATAATTTATGTTATATTTTGATATGTATTGAAAGAATATTAAAATTTTAGAAATCATTAAGGACTATTCATTTCTAGTAATGTAGTGTACATGACTTTTTGTGGTATCATGTTTGCGCAATTTTACAACTTAATTACTCCCTCCGTCCCTTAAAATTTTGTCATCTTTCCTTTTTAGGACGTTCCAAAAAACTTTGTCACTTTTACTTTTAATCAATTATTTTGTGGTCTCTGTTATTTCTCTTTCATCTGCACAAACCTCAACCACACAGTTTTTACTTTATTATTCTCCGTGCCGGTCAACTTTGGCAAAGTTTTAAGGGACGGAGGTAGTAATATGGTTTAAATCTTAACTCTCAAGGTTCAACTATAAATTGAATTAGATATTAATATGTAATATTTAACCTAGAATGAAGAAGAAGAACATTGAAGATTTCTATTATATTGAACAATTTGATGATATTTTATTTTATATTTTCACATGAACTTAGTAAATTAAATATGATATTTATCTCGTGCGTCATCGTTTTGCTATATTTTTTCGTAGTTGCGTTGCACTATTTGTGTATTTGTGAATTTAGTACTGCATATGCAATTTCTTGTATTTATATCAATATTTCATGTGAGTTGGTTGGTGTGAAGATATCTACCAATTGCAAGATTTGTTCAAATTTTTTAGCATGTGTTTGGCATTGTACCGTACCGTTTTGGACCGTTCCAAAACGGCATGGTATCGAACGGTTCTATCCTGGAAACCGGACCGTACCGGACCATTAAAAACCTAACGGATACATACAGGTTTTACTAGTTTACCGGACCATTTCGGACCTCATCCACTCCTAGCTGTGCATTTCTTCTCAACCTTTCTAGACTTACCTAACACAGAGCAGGAGTCCCATTTGTTGGTTTATGATACAATAACTCCATTTTTTCTTAATTCCCGCGAAGTTTCTTACTTCCTGACAATGGCCACCATTCCTTCATGTTCTTCTTCTTCATCGTGGAACCTCAAGAATTTCTCATTTCGATCTCCTGCTCATTTTTACCCAAGTTCTAAACATTTGAGGTTTACCCCCAATAGCCAAGTCGTGCCTTCGCATTGCTCTTCAAAAAGATTGTCTTTTTATGTGAGATCCGAGAACAGAGAAGAACCCACTTCGGCGGCTGTGGCTAAAGAAGAGTCTGAAAATGAGGAAATCGTGAAGAGAGAGTTGCAGTTGGACAAGGAAGTATCTGAAACTGAGAAGATTGAGATAGAGAAACAGCAAGAAGTGGACTGGAAGAACGACGAGGAGTTCAAGAACTTTATGGGTAATCCTTCAATTGAGGCTGCTATAAAGCTGGAGAAAAAGAGGGCAGATAGGAGGTTGAAGGAGCTCGATAGAGAGTCCAGTAGCAACCCAGTCGTGGGCTTGATCAATAGACTGCTCCGTGACAATTTGTCCAGAGAGAAAGAGAGGTTGGAGAAAGCAGAGGAAGCTTTCAAGGCTCTTGATCTTAAGAAGGTATCATTTCAGTTCTTCATTAGTCTTAGATTGAAGTTAGGGCATCCTCAATCATTACATTTTTAGACTATTAGGAGACTAAGTTTGGGATGTGCCAGTTTTTTTGAGCTGGGGATGTGTCAACTTTTTTGAAGCATTGTTAAAATATCAGATATTTGGAGATAATGGTGAAAGCTATAAGAGAGTTTTGATATCATTAAAAGAAGTTATGTGACAACTATTTCTATGTAAGAATCACAAAAATCTGATTTTTTAGTGGTCATCTGTGTAGATGCTTATTTCAGGATATTATATTACAGATTGTTATTTTTTGTGATTGTGCAACTATTGTTTTTTCATCTCAAAGGCACCTTTGTGATGGCCTTTCTAAATGCGCCTTTCTTTGCCGTAAAATTTCAAAGGCGCCTTTATATCCATTAGAAAGGTGAATTCGGAAGGCTAAGATGATGTATTTAGAGCATCTGCAATCGCAAATGTGTCATTGGCCTTCCTTTGCAGTAAAATTCCATGGGTACATGCGACGGTCCAACACCTCATTTGACCTTACTTTTTTTCATTTTTTATGGTGTCCTACTAAATGACTAGATATCTCATACCATTTGAAGACCTACTTTGTATCTATTTTGGTCGGTTGTTGTTTCAGATTTAACCGATTTGAGAGACAGATAACTGTTTACGATAATATATTTGATAATCGTAAAGTTTATAAAGAATTATTATTTTAAGATACCATAGCATGTTGATCAAAAGTATTTGATGTTATGATTTGATATTATTTGTGTATAATCTAGGATCTAAGTTAACAAATGTTGACTCGAAAGGTCAAAGTTAGAACTTTAAATATGGGCGTAGAGAGGTACTCCCTCCCTCCCATTTTATGTGTCTTACTTTCTTTTTTGGGGTGTCCCAAAACAAATGTCTTGTTTCCTTTTTTGGCAAGGAATATGTGGTTTATATCATTTCAATTTATTCTACATACGCCACAAACACAACTTTTACTTTTGAACCACGTTATTTGGACAAATGTCAAACCAAAATAAGTCACATAAAATGGGACGGAGGTAGTACTAATTAAGTTGCTTCTACAAACTCTTGGAATCATATCTTGGGGCTAATTACCAACAAAATAATTTTATTTTGGCAGTTAAAGAGCTGCTTTGGGTTTGATACATTTTTCGCGACAGATGCTAGGAGATTCGGAGATGGAGGGATCTTTATAGGAAATTTGAGGAAACCTATTGAAGAAGTAATAC